CGCTGGGGCGACAACTCCTTTTTACAACCGTTCGTCCACCATCATTGAAACTGCTGCAAATTTCAAGCATCGAAATAATACATGGGGAAGAACTTTCAGGCGAAATGCCCGGCCTGCCCCGCCGACGCGTCTGGGGGTGGAGGAAGACCCCACGATTGCAACAGAGCTTTTGTCCCGAGCGTCTCGTGTCCTGTTTTTTCAACGATGTGGCCCCCCGGACGTCCCGACGCGTTCCCTGGGATCAGGTTTCTCATGACCCTGGGAAGTCCGGGCCTCCGCGCGCCGCCGCGGCCGAGCGGGGTCGCCACGACCGCCCCGCCAGGGCCGCTCCGCAGTGCGGGCGGCGGCAGCGGCTTGGGGTGCTCCAGCGGCGGCGGCGGCGTCTTGGACCGCTGCGCCGGCGCGGCGCCCCGCTGCTCGAACAGGCTGACCTCGAAATGGGGGGGAATGGGGGGGATGTCTCCATATATATAGAGAGAGAGAGAGAGAGAGAGAGCGGGATATATCTATACATATATATATATATAGAGAGAGAGAGAGAGAGAGACAGAGAGAGAGAGAGAGAGCGGGAAAGAGAGAGAGAGAGGGAGAGAGAGAGAGAGAAAGAGACGGCTATAGGTCCTCGGCGGCAGCTGGCAAGCGGGGCGGCAGCGGCGGGGCGGAAGGGGGCGGCGCGCCCGAGGCGAACAGGTCCGACCCTTGAAGGAGCATGCGGACCCCCGTCGACCTGCCTCCGCTGGCCCTGGCCCTCGCTCTGGCATGTGTAGTGATGGCTCCTCCACAAAATCGCAGCCACTCTGAAAGCACTGAACGACGTGAGAAGGATATCGAAAGCAACAGGGCACGAGCAGAGGAAGGCAAGAGACGGGCGAGGAAGGCGAGATAACAGGAGCAGAGAGTGAGGTGAACTGCTGACCAAGCTGGGGCCAAGATCAAGGGGGAGAAACCGAACTAATGTTGCAGAATATCTCCATTGGCAACGCCACATCCAACACGGCACGGTCGGGTCGTCGAGCGATATCAACGGAGGTCTCCAAGCGTTGAAACATATTTAAACAAAAGCGGTGACACACAATTCGGTATGCTTTGAGACGGCATTCTCGAAACGAATCAGGGTGAAGAGCGGGTCGGACAGGCCAACGCGGGCCCAATTCTCCAGCTTCGCATGAAGCGGTGAAATCGTGCCAGACTGGTACAACATCTGTATCGACATGCTAAACCGTAGGCCAGCGACCAGAGAATTTACGAACTTGTTTTCGATAGCTGACACCTTCCTCGTCGGGGCACAAATCTGAAACACATGAGATCATAGGGGGCGTCATCGTGCTGTATGCCAAGATTCTCTTCCCCATCGATTTATCCACACCCCGAATACGACGGACCCCTTCCTCCAAACGTTCGCAGGCCCACACCACAAGAGTCCGCCGACCCCTTGGGGTCACGGCGTGTGAGATGCTTCCCCCTCCCTGGTCCGGCCGGTTTGGAAGGGGGGGTGGGGGGGGTGGGGGGCAAATCCGTCATCCGCACACTTGAAGCCTCAAGATGCCCCAAAACGGGCAAGTTCCAAAGGTTCCCGGAACGGTCCAAGAGAGCTACGAATCGACGAAAGATCGCACCAAAACGCCGAAGATTGCCTCCACACGGCTCCATAAGAAACAATATTACGAGGCGCCCCAAAGAGGCCCTCCAGAAGCAAGAATCGTCCCATTTCCGAGGGACAACGTATATTTTCACCACGTTCGCCCATTCGGCTTCCACGCGGCGCAAAACGGCCCAAGAAGCCTCCAAGATCGACCCTCGCCAGCCCAAGAAGCTCCCAAAAAGGCTCCAAGACGGCGTCCGGGCGATCCACGAAGGCCCCAGAAACCATAACAACGGCTTAGGAAAGCCGCAGGACGGTCCCAAGAGGGCTCCAAGACGAGGCAAGAGGGCCCCAAAAGGCTGTCCATTCGGTCCAAACTGCCCTAGGTCGCCGCCAAACGTCACCATGGGTGTCCAAGACGTTTGAAAACGCGACCACGAGGCGCTCCAAAAAGGCCTCCAAAAGCAAAAACCGTCCCATTCCCGAGGTAAAACGTACATTTTCGACACATTCGCTTCTTGGGCTTTCACGAGGCCCACAACGGCCTAATAAACCTCCAATATCGACCCCTGTCACCCGAAGAGGCTCCCAAGAAGGCTCCAAGACGGCTTCCGGGCGATCCACGAAGGCTCCAGAAACCATAGCAGCGGCTTAGGAAAACCGCATGACGGTCCCAAGAGGGCTCCAAAACGAGGCAAGAGGGCTCCCAAAGGCTGTCCGGACGGCCCACGCGGGGGACGATTCGGTCCAAACCGCCCAAGATTGTCTCCAGACAGCCCCATGGGAGTCCAAGACGTTCGCATACGCGACCACGAGGCGCTCCAAGCAGGTCTCCAGAAGCAATTACTCCGACGGAAGAACCCCACATAAGAATCCTCTGGGCGAATCTGGAAAAAGCCATCACCGTCGTCCTCGTGGTTGGTGAGGCGTCCTGGCTGTCTCTTCTGCGTATATTTCCTCTCGCCTTGGCGCGGGCCCCCCTTCCACTCCTTACGTTGTCCCCATCCTCGCCCCCCTGTTTGTTTCGCGCCCCGCCACCTCCTCCCCTTCCTGTTGCATGAGCGCGCATGTCGATGTTCCTCGGCGCCGTCGCCGCCACGGCCAGCGCAGGCGCGTTCTCTACTGGTCACGTCGCGCAGCCGTTGGGACAACCCCGCGGGCCAGGCTGTCGGGGCAACCCCGCGAGCCGCTTGCGCGCAAGACCAAGCCGTTGGGACAACCCCGCGGGCTTCGAGCGGGGCGCAGCCGCGCTCAGGCGGGCAGCACGAAGCCCAGCTCTGCCGCGAGCTGCTTCGCCTCCGCCCTGGACAAACCGCTCTCTTGTCGAACTCCAGGAGCGCCTTCCGCAGGGACGCCGGCGGCCCGCACTCCAGGAACTCTCGCGGCGGCGGCCGCAGGATCAGCATGTTCCGCATGCACGTGGCGCGGGAGAACATGACGTAGAGGTGCAGCCACCACTGCTCGTCCGACATGCCCGTGCGGCCAGCGTCCTCGTCTCTCGCGCAGTCGATGGTGACGCCCTTGCGCAGCGTCTGGCCCTGCGACAGCGTGGAGGTCAGGTAGGACGCGTGCGTCAGGGTGAACCCCGAGCGGCGCACGCTGTGCGCCCCCGAGCTCTGCCATGTGAACTCCCTTTCGCTGGGCCTGAACATCAGCAAGCTCCGCGCCCGCGCCTCGGCCTGGCCGTCGTCGTCGGCGCCTTCGGCGCCCTGTCGCAGCACCTCGGCGACCTGAGGAGCCCAAAAACTTCCTTGTTGCGTCCAAAATGTGGCCTGGGAGCTGCGTTCTGGCAGCGCGAGAACCCAAAATTGACGACAGTTACAGGTTTTGGATGACCCGCTCGGATTACCAACATGATCTGCGGGCCCCATAGGGAGGGGGCTCCCGCCTGAGACTTCCTCGCAGTTCACTCACAGACGAGGCTCCCGCCTGAGACTTCCTCCATATTCAGGCTTGAGGAGCCCAAAAGTGACGACAGTTACAGGTTCCGATGACCCGCTCGGATTACCAACGTGATCTGCGGGCCCCATAGGGAGGGGGCTCCCGCCTGAGACTTCCTCACAATTCACTCAGAGACGAGGCTCCCGCCTGAGACTTCCTCCAAATTCAGGCTTGACGAGCCCAAAAGTGACGACAGTTACAGGGTTCCGATGACCCGCTCGGATTACCAACATGATCTGCGGGCCCCATAGGGAGGGGGCTCCCGCCTGAGCCTTCCTCAGAATTCACTCACAGACGAGGCTCCCGCCTGAGACTTCCTCCAAATTCAGGCTTGAGGAGCCCAAAAGTGACGACAGTTACAGGGTTCCGATGACCCGCTCGGATTACCAACATGATCTGCGGGCCCCATAGGGAGGGAGTTCCCGCCTGAGACTTCCTCCCAATTCACTCACAGACGAGGCTCCCGCCTGAGACTTCCTTCAAATTCAGGCCTGGGGAGCCCAAAAGTGACGACAGTTACAGGGTTCCGATGACCCGCTCGGATTACCAACATGATCTGCGGGCCCCATAGGGAGGGGGCTCCCGCCTGAGACTTCCTCACAATTTACTCAACGATGATGAGGATGAGGATGATGAGTGGTGGTGAAGATGAGTGGTGAAGAGGATGATGATTGATTGTGAGTGGTGGTGGCGATGATGATGTTTGAATGAGGATGATGCCGATGCCGATGATGATGATGATGATGATGATGTTCGTGAGCGTGTGAGAGAGTGCGAGTGATGATGATGATGAGTATGTGAGTGACTAAGCATGTGAGAGAGCATCATCGATGATGCTGATGAGGTTGATGATGAGAGAGTGTGAGTGAGTGTGAGTGTGTGTGTGTGTGTATGTGTGTTCCTGTTCCTGCGCGGGGTGTCCAGAGAAAATTACTCCGACGGAAGAACCCCACATAAGAACCCTCTGGGCGAATCTGGAAAAAGCCATCACCGTCGTCCTCGTGGTTGGCGAGGCGTCCTGGCTGTCTCTTCTGCGTATATTTCCTCTCGCCTTGGCGCGGGCCCCCCTTCCACTCCTTACGTTGTCCCCATCCTCGCCCCCCTGTTTGTTCCGCGCCCCGCCACCTCCTCCCCTTCCTGTTGCATGAGCGCGCATGTCGATGTTCCTCGGCGCCGTCGCCGCCACGGCCAGCACAGGCGCGTTCTCTACTGGTCACGTCGCGCAGCCGTTGGGACAACCCCGCGGGCCAGGCTGTCGGGACAACCCCGCGAGCCGTTGGCGCGCAAGACCAAGCCGTTGGGACAACCCCGCGGGCTTCGAGCGAGGCGCAGCCGCGCTCAGGCGGAAGGCAGCACGAAGCCCAGCTCTGCCGCGAGCTGCTTCGCCTCCGCCCTGGACAAAACCGTTCTCTTGTCGAACTCCAGGAGCGCCTTCCGCAGGGGCGCCGGCGGCCCGCACTCCAGGAACTCTCGCGGCGGCGGCCGCAGGATCATGTTCCGCATGCACGTGGCGCGGGAGAACATTACGTAGAGGTGCAGCCACCACTGCTCGTCCGACATGCCCGTGCGGCCAGCGTCCTCGTCTCTCGCGCAGTCGATGGTGACGCCCTTGCGCAGCGTCTGGCCCTGCGACAGCGTGGAGGTCAGGTAGGACGCGTGCGTCAGGGTGAACCCCGAGCGGCGCACGCTGTGCGCCCCCGAGCTCTGCCATGTGAACTCCCTTTCGCTGGGCCTGAACATCAGCAAGCTCCGCGCCCGCGCCTCGGCCTGGCCGTCGTCGTCGGCGCCTTCGGCGCCCTGTCGCAGCACCTCGGCGACCTGAGGAGCCCAAAAACTTCCTTGTTGCGTCCAAAATGTGGCCTGGGAGCTGCGTTCTGGCAGCGCGAGAACCCAAAATTGACGACAGTT